AACAAGTGCATATTTAAAATGAAATTGAGAAAAGCCACAAAAATATGAAAGATTTCAATAGTTGGGGTGTGGTGGGCTTTTTTCTCCTTTCACAAAGATTATGTCTTTGTTATCTTGTCATAGGAAAGGTATCTTTTACTATTTTTACAGTTGTAAGAGAGAAAAAGAAACTACATTCAAAACCAAGTTCTCCATAGAAAAACATCTCACTGGATTTTAACAGATATTTGCTTTCATTTATCAGTGAACACTGATCTACCAATGAACAGTGAAGGCATAGCTCTATAGAACTACACCCTTAAAAAAAAAAAAGTGGACAAAATGTGCTCAGCTAGCACCTCCACAAGATCACACAGCAGCAAAATAATCCTCAGTTATAATCCAAATACATGCAATGATGGAAAGAATGTTTTATGGAAAACTATCCTACTGGAATTTAAGAGTTCTGCAATGTGTGGAAAACAAATATGCTTTAATAGGTTGCTGCTTTCAATGACTGAATTTATTTTCAAGAAGGTCATAACCATAAAGTAGAAATCTAATTCTTCTTTCAGAGCAGTGGCAAAAGGGGAATAGAAAATAGTGACACTGAAACGTTATCTTTGACCTCTTAGAGGAAGTGGCAGAATGCTATTGGGTTTTTTGTTGCTGTTTTGCTGCATCTGTTTTGGTTATATTTTTTTTAATGTTTCTTAAAAAAAAATAAATCTGTAGTTTTCTCACTTTTCTCAGTTTGGAGTCAATGAATTATCTGCAAATACATTTAAACAAAACCAATTATATCAGTAATGCATTACCATTAATTTATCAGTGTTTTCATCCTTCTCTAACAATTAGGGGGAAAATGTGCCTACCAACTTCATTTTCATGTCCCAAGCACCTGACTGCTCTGTTCACTTCTTTCCTATAGGCATTAAAATAGGCATATAGGTATAGCAGTATGCAAGTCAGGAATGTAAAATATGATTCTATTCTCTGCCCCCGCCCTCCTCAGTGTCAACTTAAACAGCTTTTCCCTTTCTTTCTAAAATTTCCTGCCTGTGTAACTGGTAAGGGAAAGGAATTATCTTGCGGATCAGAAAACTAAGCCAATCCCTTTCAGCACATTTGTTGCCAAATCTGAGTGAAGATTGATGCTCTGGACAATAAGAACCAAAGTAGGATGTAATACAAAAACTTCTCTCAAAATCCAGCTTACTTAGATCCATTGCTTGCAAACTCCTTAACAATCTCCACGGTAATGCAGACCTCAGAAAGCAAAGTGATGCTTACTGAAACAGGCCTGCCTTTCTCATCTGCTTGTCAGCCAAGCAGATAGGCCTGCCCTAGATGATGTTATTCCAGGTCCTTTCACCAAACCTGCAGACAGCCTTCGGAGTCAAAGCCACAAGATAACGCTCTGGTTTCCTGCAGGCACTCAGGGTTTGTCTGTATGCAGTTTAAAAAGTATGACATTAGCAGGCATTAACTGGGGCAAGAGGAGCATACATCAAACAAGCCCTGTTTGCAGCAATCTGAGCTTTAACTCCTTTGGCTTGAACTAACTAAAAGCATGGACAGCCTTCTGCATACTGAAAGGCAGTAGTCAGCAAATATTAGACATCTGATTTTGTTAAAGTCCATACACCACCTAAGCTAAGCAATTCATGGCATTCAATTGAAAAGACACACAGCATCCTATTTGCAGTACAGTTTTTCATCTCTGGTTAGCAACCTCTGCTCCCCAAAAGATCCTGCAGAATTTCGTATCTGGACAGATCTCTTCATTTCCCCAGATCTTTTTGACACTTACTCAGTATGCTTTCACTACCACGTCATTCTGGTCTTCCCAAAGCTAGAACACCAGTTTGTTTCAGTAAGTTTAACCTGCCCAGACACTTTGGGATATAACCACCTCCCACATTTACAAATCCTCTTATTTGTGGTGGTTAGTTACTCTCTGCCATGTAATTGGAAACTTTCCTATGTCCAACTAGGTACCCACTGATATTTTTAAATGTCTTCTGGCCTACAATATAGTTATACTGCCTTCTGAAACCTGACACTACAGGCAGAAAGATGTCCTTCTGTACAGCTCAGCTAAAAGTGAAATTTCAAATTTTCAGTGAGAGCACCAATCAAATTCTCAGCACTGCATCAGTCTGTCAGGATATTTCGTGTTTGTTTCAGTCAGGGAGGTTTTTGGTTTCTCAGAAAAACTTTTGGCTCTCGGTAGGTGGTGCTATAGCCCTTCAATCCACCCATGAGCAAATGCCCTGCTTCCACTGCTAAAGTGAATTTCATGGATCAATGTCACCTCACCACTTGAGGGCAAAGACTGGAGCGGTAATAAAAAACTAAAAAATCTATGCTGCAGTTGTAGGTTAAATACTTACATAAGCCTGTAGTTGAGGTGGCATTTAAAGTCAGCAGTTCTCATTGCACTTCATGCGCAGACATCACTGCACCATACACTGACGACACAGTGATTGTACAAGAGAACTACAAAATTATCACATGTCCATATCTATATAAAATACAGATGAAGAATGGCACAAATATCTATTACTTCTACAGCCTATTCTAAAATTCTATGAATACTTCCATCAAATGATCCGAATAAACACTTGAAGAAAATAGCAAGTATCATATTGTTCTAGGGGATGAGTTCTGGCTACAAAAGCTGAACACATCTGCAAGATGGATTGTTTATATCCATGCTGTGAAACCTGCAAAAATTTGGATCAGAGCCCAAAGGGGGCACCAAGAGGCCCCAGGTGCCTTTAGCAACCTGGCCCCGTCCCTCTCGGCCACTCGCGCCAAGACCTACCTGCCATCATCCCTGCAGGGCTATGCTGTGGGCTGGCTGTGCCAGTTCCATCCCCTGAACCTCCCTTTCTGGGCAAGGGAACCAGGGCATCCTGCTCATAGTCATGTCTCCAGTCCTGCTCAGCCCTGGCTTCTGCATGAAACCCAAATCCACATTGCAGTGATGGTTCTGCTGCTGCCAACTGGTCACCTTGTCTCCTCTGGCCCAGGTAGTGTCCCTGCCAGCGACCACCCCAGCCCAGCCCAGCCCAGAGCACTGTTTTGGACAGGGCATGGTGCTGCTGCTTGGCCCCAGCTTGCTCTCCCTCACATTAAGCTCTCCCTGACATGAAGTGCAGTGAACAACTGCATTAATTTGTGAGCCACAAGCAAGCAGTGACTCACCTCACCTGGATGTGAACTCTGTTTCAAATGAACAGTTCGCCTCCCAGCCCTGCTTTATTCCTTGAATAAGGACTAACACAGAAACTGATCCCACTGTATGAATAAGGCCTCATCTACTCAGAATTCTTCAGTGCAGTTTAAAGGACTTTCTTAAAAATTTTACTGAACTCCTATACTTTTGTGGAAATCTCTGTTTTAGAGAGCTCACACACAGCTGTAAATGAGAAGTCAAGTCCAGAAGAGTTTGCTTTGGTTTACTGAATCAGTTAATGCTGTCTAAATTTGGAAATCACCTCACCTCAATCAGAAGATATCTCAAAGCCCTGGGTTTTTAAAGGAGATAAGAATCTTTTCAGATGAAACTGTACTTGAACTGTAGATCTACAATAACAAGAAATACTCAAGACACACATATGTAGTCAAGGAGCTATATGTGATGGTTTTATTTGTAAAATACTTCATCCTAACAGCAAAATACTGTAATTTTATCTTATAAAACTTAGCAAAAATTGATACATTTGAAACAGAAATAAGAAAATTATTTCTACTTTGATTCAATTATTCAATTCTCTTTTCAATATGGAAGCGACAGGTATGCACCACACTTTACAGATTTCAGTGCCAAACAGATAATTCAATAAATATATCATTCTAGTGAAAAAAAGTCATAAAACTACTGAAAAAATATAAGCATTTTTGGCTTTTTCTAAGGTTTTGAACTAGTAATATCTACACACACCAAAGTTCTTGGCATATACTGTATAGATCAGTAACAGAAAAATTTGTTAGTAGCACACCAGACAATCAAATTTGCAGTACATTTCTAGTAAAAAAAGAAAATCAGAAATTCAGCCTACTTCTTGATTCATACAGAGGACTTCTGCAAGGAGGTGGCAGGGGGAACTTAAATTACTAATTTCATATCTTATAAGGCCATTGCACATCCTAATTTACAGTCAAAAAGCCAGTCCTACGCTATATATAATAAATAACTGCGTGTTACGAACAGAAGTGAGAATAAATAAACTTCACTGTTTTATCCTATTGCTAACAAATAAACTATGAAATCTTTGCCTAGGAGAGGACAGTTCTGCTATGTACATAGCCATAATTTTGGAAGCCACTGTTGCCTCAAATTTCAGAGGTAAAATCGGTTCTCTGTGCCAGTCTTCTGAGCAGTTTCTTTCTGTGAAGAAGTTGGACCTCTGAGACTGTGCTCAGACATGATGCAAGTGGCAAGGCAAACTCACACACCAGTCTGCCAGTACATGGACACTGGCAGGACAGTGCCTGATGCTGGAAAAACACATAACAGAGACCGTATAGTGGAGTTCAAGATCCTGAAGAAGTATTACCTTTAAATTTCATCAAGGAAAAATAGTTTCCATTGAACAACAAACCATTGAACTGTTTGTTCTGGGTGCTTTTTTTGCCCTTTCATAGAGATAAATCAGAGCAAAGCACTACTCCAACTGTACTTACATGGATGGTTGTCTGCCTCTTATCCTACGGAAAAGTCTGCTACAGGAGGCAATCAAAATCATTAAGGTTGGAAAACACCCCCAAAATCAGACACAAGCTAACTAAATGCAATTAAAAATATTTTTCCTTTCCAATATTTTTGCTTGAAATATCCAATTGTCAAAGCAAATTTCATTCCTCACACATAATTAGATAACTTAGCTGGCTATGATTGGTCCTCCAAGAAGGACCATTCTTTCCTCTCCTCTTTTCCATCTGCTTCTGCTGACCTGATGCACAGTGCATCTTTTCTAATCAGATTAATCTTTCAGATTCAATGAATAATGAAAATGCAACAAGGAACAGCGAAAGTAATTTCTGAGGAGCACAAATGCTACTTATACAAGGAGTTAGGGTTTCCAAGTCTTCTGCTAACTTTGGTCTCATGAAGTGATACTATTAAGCGCTGCTGACAATTCGGTTTAATGGGACAACTCGATTTTACAGGCTTCTACACAGAATTTATAAAAACCTGATGAATTAAGATTTGAGCCAGATTTAGAGGGCTTCAATCCGTGACATGATAGTGCTACTTTCCATTGGCTTTACTGAAGCGGGATTCCTTGGAGGACTCTGCACTCGATGACGGCACTGCCAAGGCTCTCTGGCGGATTCCAACCGTAGCCTTTTTAAGCTCATGTCTGAGACTGCGGATTGTGCTGTTTATGGCAGCCACACATGCCTTCCAATCAAATCCACTTTCATTTAGATCAAAGGATGGAAAATTCTCCTGAAGGAAGTCTAAGAATAAACAAGTATGTAATAGTGAGTTATCAATTATTTATGCAAGCTATATACTCTCTTTTGATGTAATTAAGCCAAAACAAGTGTGTGCTACCAAAACAGGACAGCTTCATTTTATTAACCTTCAATGCTGTAGCCTGAGAGGCAGTCGTGCCACATCTGTGGAGCTCTTAGCATGCACTGTCTGGATCTTAACCCTTTCAACCTTCCTAGATTCAAGACATGGAGGACAAGCAGTTCCAAGATTTGTTAGGAAATCCATGTTGCAAAAAAGTGTGATGAATCACAGAACAAATCAGAAGGGACCCATATGGCTCAGAGTGCAACTCCCTGCTTCTTGCAAAACTACCGAAGACTAAATCATATCTCCATGGTATCCTAGTATCATGTTAAGAGTGTCTTCCAGATGAAGGTAACTAGTCAAATATGCAGCCTTACTAACTCAGTGAGCACTATTCCACAGTAATGCTGTGGAAGAAGCTCTTCTTGCTGTCCTGAACATTCCTTGCAAATCTCAACTTTAGGTGAGCTTTGGCTTTTTTAACACTATTCCAACGCTCCCAGGCAAGGTTTCAGCTCGGATAGAGTTAATTTTCTTCCTAGTAGGTAGTACAGTTTTGGATTTCAGATGAGAATAATGTTGATTAACACACTGATGTTGTTGCTAAGCAGTCCAGGCCTTTTCAACCTCTCACACCACCCCACCAGCAAGCAGGCTGGGGGACACAGGAAGCTGGGAGGATGCACAGCTAGGACAGCTGACCCCAACTGCCAAAGGGATATTCCATACCATATGGCCTCATGCTCAGCATATAAACTAGGGGTAAAGCTGGCTTGGGGTCATTGCCTGGGAAGTGGTTGGGCATCAGTCAGCGGGTGGTGAGCAACTGCACTGTGCATCACTTGTTTTCCATAATCCAATTCTTTTATCATCATAATCATTATTATTTTCCCTTACATTTCTCTCCTATTAAACTGTCTTATCTCAACCCATAAATTTTGCTTTTTTTCTTTTTTTTTCTTCCCCAGTTCTCTCCCCCATCCCAGTGGGATGGAGAGGGAGAACACGACAGGAGGGAAGAAGGTGGGCAAGCAGCTGTGTGGTGTTCAGCTACCTGACAGGTAAATCACAACAGTTAAATAAGTTTCACTTCAAAAGCTCTCCTTGTTTCTAATCTCCATAAACAATTTTTTGCTCCAGAGGTCAGTTATAAATTCCCTGCTTAGTCAAACTTGTCTCCCCATAGCTCTACCAGTTCTCCTGTCAGGATAGACTCTTGTGCTTGCAGAATGCTGTCCTTAAAGACCTATCAACTTCCCTGAGCTTCTCTCCTGTTTAAAGCTGTCTCTCACAAGCTTCCACCTGAGAATTTCTCAAGTAAGGCGAAGTCTGCTCTCCTAACCTACTCAGAACCTTTTACTTTACTCAGAATCTTGAGGTCCAGGATTTTGTAGTCTCTCCAGGCAATACTGCCACCAATTATCACACATCAAACCTTTTTATGAAGGGTACCAAAACCTGCTATGCATGACACCTCTGCTTGATCTACCTAGTCCCTATATTAAGAAATCATCTCAGATGTCCTCCGCTGCTTCCATCTCCCACTGCATTGCCCTTTTAAGCAGATGTCATGGAAATGGAGTTTTTTCACATGAACCAGCATTGTGATCTGGAGAATTTCTTGAGCTATTAAAATATAACTCCATCTACATCCTCTCCATCTGTTTCACTGCTGGCACTAATACCTGTCAGAATGGTTTCACAGACTAATTTCTCGAGTTTCGTGCTTTGTTTATAGACTATAAAGTTAATCACTCTTGTTAATTTCTCCATATTACCATTTGAACAGAGATTTTCTTACCTCTGAGAGCATTAATTTTGTTGGAATCCAGGGGGCTCATGCCACGATCAAGACTACCATATACATTGCTTTTTACCAGCACATCTTCAGTGAACATATGACGAATTAGGTAGCGAGCTGACAGCTCTGGCCGCGTCTTCCCCTTGGCTACATAAATGACTGAGAAAGGCAACTGGACATTGCGCTGTGGGCTCCCAAGATGTTCTAGAAAAGATGATAGGGAGGGAAGAGAGATATTTTACTCAACCAGCACTGATCATGGTTCAAAGTAGCTGTATTACACCAAAACTAACACCAGAAGTTTACCCTGAAGCTACTCTACTTGCTTAGAAAGAACAGAGCAGAACCATAACACTACAGCTAAAATGAAACATATTACAGACAAATGTCCAAGCAGCCAGAAAACCCTGTTTTACAACCATGTAACAGTATTTCTGATATGTCTTCAGCAATGCTAGCAATGTAACCTGCATTATTAATGACTGTTTTCTAACTTGTTTTCATCTCACATGAAAAGATTATGCTATTCCGATTACATGAGTAAAAAAAGTTCTGCTATTTCAGTGGTGTTTAGATTTTGTAAATGGAAACAGAAAAAGAGTGAATAACTACTTCAATCTGACTTCACTACGAACACTAAAAAAAAAATAAGGAGATCTGTGGGATCAGACTAACAAATGTTGGGTGCAGAAGCAGATCTGATATAGACCAAAAGTGATTCTAAGCAAATAAATTATTTCCAAGGGCAACTAATCTCAGCTCATTTTCCTTGAGATTTTCTACGCCATGCTGTACATGGATTTTTTCGCAATGCATTTGTATATTGTAAAAGTATATTTTCCTTTCATTAAAAATATAAAGACAGCTTTAAGATTTTTATTGTCCTAAAGAGTCAGTTTTACAGAAAGGTGTGCTTTTCTTCTGAAATTGCAACACCATTTCATAGATGTTCTGAGCTAGCTTACTCCTTTAAAGTACAATACCTACCAAATAAAACAAAAAAGCTAGGACAACTGAACAGAGTATCTGAAGATGAATTTTCCAGTCTTACAGTGGATATGCATTACAGGACACTGGTAGATGCACACAGACAAATGTTCTATTAGCAAGATAATGTTTTTGTTTGCTCCCTTGAAGACTTACTATACATATACCATATGACTGCCTTAAGAGGAAGAGTCACATAGTTCAGAAGATCCCTTTATTACATAATTACACCTACAGTATCATCTTTTGCCTATCACTGACCACTTAAAATGTAACAAACAATTCCAGAAAATGGAAAGTTCTTAATTTACCCATCGGTTCCAAAGACTGTTGTTTCCTGACTGAAGATGTGTGGAAAGCTTCTGGAAACTTATCCAATCCCGAATTCTGTGATGTGTCAGTTGTGGAGCTGGTCATTTTCTGAGAGTTTTGTGAATTACCTCCACTATCTTCATTATAACTTAAATCTACACATTGAGATGTATCTGGAGCATCAGCCACTTTTTCTTTCCCCTCAGCTGTCTCCTGAAACATTAAATGAGGTTAGCATATGCAGCGGGAGAAACCTACCAGTTTTCTAATTAGTGTTCCAGTTTGTATCACATTTAGTATAAATTAGATTTCAGATATTTGCAATATAGTTACTCCTGAATTTCTATCATGAAAATAACAGGTGAAACAGATAATAAATATTCAGAGATATGCAAAGAGCATTTTAGAAGCAGAGGTAAATGGAGGTGTTTTGGGAGTTATTTTTCAGTCAACATAAAGGCCTGGCTGGATATATCTGAAAGAAAAGCTTGTGAAACAGTGCTACCAGCTACATGTTTAACCTCTCAATCAAATCTGACGCTACGTCTGGGCAACATTTGCAGTGCCTTCCCTTTCATATCCTATGCTTAAACATCTCTTAACTGAACAGTGGGACGCAGGAGCAGGAAGAGGCAGAGCAAGAGAAAGGCACATGCTTCCAGTATTCCCACACGGAACTAGCACTACAGTCAGCAGGCCTGTGCTGAGCAACACAGAGATAGAACCCAAGGAATTTCCAATTAAAGCACTTGTACGATGAGGAATTCAAAGAATTAATCTGAGAAAATGCACAAACTTAGTACTTAAAAAATTATCACCTTAAGAGAACTTCCTGAGTTTCTTTTTGTTTCAGAGCGTAAACAGCGGATCATAGCGTTGACATTTGTGATACAGGTTTTCCAGTCTTTTCCATGCTCACTCAAATCATAGGTTGGAAAGTTAGTTACCAGAAATTCTACAAATAAAATATAGAAAATGTTTAAAGTTTCATGACATAAAATGGCATTTAGAAGTATTCTAATTTAGAAAGAACGCAAGCTAAGAAATGCTTCATGTTTACTGTTCTCCATTTAGAAGCTTTAGATTTCCATCTACGAATTGCGATAGTAAACTCATGTTTTGAAGCTAAACAGCATGATGAATTCAAGATGTTCAATGATACTTTTTTGAGGTGTTGTGAATGATGTTATTATATAAAGTATTTCCTGGTAGAATTAGGGGAAATGTGTGATTTATCATACTAACTTAAAAAAAAACCTTCAAAAACAACAACAACAAAAAAAGCCCACAAAGAACAGAGACAGGGTAATGCTGCAACCATTTCACATCTTATATAATCTCACTCTTTTAACCCTTTAACACATACATACCATGGGATTTGTGTAAATGGCTTGACATTTAAAAAAATAATACTCTCCCCATCTTTACCATTTCTCAATCCAGAGAACTGAACATAAGAGAAGGAGTATTTAAAAATCACCAGTTAATGTTTGTCCCAAGTATACCCTGACCATAAAAAAAACAACCTAAACAACCAAAAAAACCCATCCACAAAACCCATGCCACACACAAACACAAACTAAATTGCAATGAAAAATTTAGAGAGAGCGAGTATGACTGATGAACGTGGAGCACACAAAACCAAGAGAAATTCAAATTGTTTTATCTACGTTGAAGAAACATGAACAATGAGAATTACAAAGTAGGACTTTCAAAACAAAAAGACACTGCAGAGTAGAGCACATCCACTACGGCATTTATCTGTTCACCAGTTGCTAGATAATGCTAGAAACATACAGAAAAGGATTTCTTGTAAGTTAAAAACTTTGTTAAGTATTAAAGAAGTAAATCTGTGCATTTTGAAAGGCAACATACCTCTTATTGCAGCAATTTTGTTTGGATCCAACGTCCTGCGCCCTCGTGCACTCGCTCCCATAATGCTGCACAACAGTGTTTTCTTGGGGAACAGGACACGAACCAGGTAGCGAGCGGCGTACTTCGGTTTAGTCTTTTGCCGAGCCTTCACCAAATCGTTTCCAAGAACTTTTACGTTTCTCGCTGGGTCACCGACAAACTCTTTTGTAAAACAAAAACATTTAAAGAAAAAAAAATTAAAACTCCCAAGCAACTTGTTAAAAACAGAACACTTTTTCAAACTCTTTCTCTTGATCTCTATGGTACTCTCAGAATATGTTCTTCGATATGGTTAATTCTACTACATATTATTACTTATCCTTGCTCTTCCAAAAGAAGTTTTAAATTGGAAAGGTAACAGAAATATCTTTTTGATTTACATTAACCACCAACATAACAAACTGAAATCAAAACACCCAAGAAGATACATTAGACACCCAGGAATCCACAATGTTCAGACTGGCCTATTTTACACAGGTGCAGATACCTTGTATGTTTTCAAGACAATGACTCACGAAGAATGGCATATCCATACATAGTATTGCTAAAACATACATTGTTTACAAATTTGTAGATAGATATCCAAGTATTTCACCTACTATTCATGCAGTTCTTCAGCTGTATGACCTTATTTTTTAGACCAAAAGCAACAAAAACCTCATAGCTCAGCCTTCCACATAATTCAGGGCATTTATACTTTAAAAAGACATTAGTTTTTAAGACACAGTGCTATTTTTATATGTGCATATTTATTATAATGCAATGATCCATGGAATTATTCTTTTTCTGTGGAATTAAGTATTTTAAAATAAATCAAACACTGGAGGATTTGAGTATAGAAAGGATGTTTCACTGATAAAATCCTCCACGAGAAGAAAACAGGTATTACCTTCACACAGATCAGGTAAATTGCTTTCTTAAAATGTGCCTACAGGCATATGCCTCACTGAGCTTTAGTGGCAATCTCTTTTGCCTTTTTAAACACATGCATAGCACGCATACATTACTTATGAATTATACAGAGGTTAAAAAAGTTTACATCGAGTGTCTCAAGAGAGAAAAAGAGGATCTAGTCTTAAAAGAACTCAAAGCACCTACTGTAAATCACAGGCTTGTAGTAGTCTATACAACTGTATGTGCACTGCAGAGGTTTTTCAGTGATCTCTGGTATATTAAACATTTCTGTGATGTTTGTTTCAAGAGTTTTAAGCAGTATTCCATTATAGAAATGTGTGTCAGTCAGCCAGTTCTGCTCCTTTATTTTTGCTAAATTATGATAATGAAATTTCTTTAGGCATATCTTTTTAATACTAGCAGCAGTTTTTTAGCCTTTGTTTCTGAATATTTATCACGAAGGAACTCACCAAAGCTAGGGTCGATGAAGACTGAGGAAGATGGTAGCTCTTCACTAATATTCACATCCCCAGATGCATTTCTGTAGTTCTCCACTGCAGCATTATTTTCTTGACTGGCCTCAGATGGTGCTGGCATCGATGATGATGCCACTGGTGAAGATGCAACGTTGACAGTACTTTCCACAATACTGGGTGCAAGATTTGATTGTGGTGAAAGGTCAGGCATCTCATTAGTTGCTGTGTATGATGAATGCAATGAATGTGTTGAAACTATAGTGGGGAGTGGTGGGCTCTGCCTACCAACAGGCTGCTGTGATTCAAACTGAAAACTCTGCTGAGCATGTTTTACTGTGGAATTGACTTGAGCATGGCCATTTTGTAAAGGAACCCTTACAACTGGACTACGCCTTCCCTGGCCTGGTGAAGAGAGATGAAGACTTAAGTCCCTTTCCATGGATTTTTGTACTCTTATTTTTCCTTGGGGCAAATGACTGGAACTTCTGTATGAAAATCCAACTGGTTTCTGGAAACGTGATTCAGAAAACAATTAAAAGGTTAAATTAGACATAGCTGGTCATTTTTTATTTTCTTTTTAGCAAACCAGGAAAACTAAATTTTAGCAATTATGCTATTGGCAGCATACTCCCTTGAAGTAGTCAATGTCATTAACTCAGAGCTGTTACTTTTTAGCCTTCTCTCTGCTTTCCTCTATTCTCACTTGTAGCTGCAACACTAAGAATTTATCTGATAAGCTTCAACCTTTCTCAGTTTTTTTCCATGTGGAGTGTTGGCATAATTGCTTTCTAGACAAATATATAGTGAGAAAAACTTTGTAAAGGTTCTTAAAGATGTTCTATAAAAAGGTAAATAGGCAAAATAAAATCTAAAATTTTTCAGCCATTGACCCAGTCTGATGAATTTTCAAGGTATGCCTTCACTGCCACACTAGCTTCCTTTCAAAGAAGAAAAAAAAAATTCACTTTCTCTTCTTTCTTTACTTGCTAGCTGAAAACATTAAACATGCAGATCTCATCTACAATGGAAGATTCCAAAGAAACTAAGACAAACTGAGAGATAGGCTAAGTTTTTCACCACTTTGAGTACTTTTATCAAAAAATATATGATCCCCAAAGCATATATTCTACTTCAAAACACAAGTCGGTAGCCACCAAATGTAGATGACACATGTGGGTTTGTTTTTCTTATTTTGTTTAATTTTTGGTGGGTTGGTTTGCATGTTTTCAGAAATCCCATTATATTTCACCCTTATAATATTAAAAAAATCTATGACCTGAAGAAAGGCTTACGTATCTGAAAGCTTGGCTGTTTTTCCAGCTTTTGGAATTCATATAATAAAAAAAACATACCTTTACCACAAACCTTTCCTTATTTATATGCTTAGCCCTTCACAGACACAACAATAGTAAAGCTACAAAAAAAACCAACAGCATTCCTGTTGGTTTTAAACAGTTGGCAGATAGCATCCTACAAGCTTATAGTGATAAAACCCTGGAGAAAAAAAAAAAAGGCAGTGCAGGTCACTTTTAAGCCAAACATTAAAGCAGCTGCCATCCCACATGATCAGAGGAGAGGGTAAGAGCACAGAGGTCTCATGGGGTTCATGGGTAGGTGAAAAAATCAGTTTATTCCCTGGATCTCATGGTTTTGTATGTGTGGACAGTAAAAGCTTGGAGTCAAAAAAAACCCCACATCCCAAATAAAACCTAGTATCCTTCTGATAGCTGAGATGCATGAGAAATTCATTGCTTTTACCCACCCTTAAAGCAACTGGCCTTACTGCTGTCTTGACATCTCCTGACAGCAGGATCACCTCTGCCACATTAAAAGCTTTGCAGTATTGTTGACAAAAAAGGTCATTATGGATTTTATGACCTTCTTCAAAAATTATCTGTTATGCTTTCCTTTTAAAGAGCATTGTTAGAAGTACTAACATTGTGTCTCCTTAGTTAACAGTGGATTGATCATTTAGGAACAAAATGAATAGCTTGTACTCAATATCAAACCTTATTAAAAACATTGAAAAAGGTGCTTTTATTAAGAAAAATAATAAATTCTAGACTGTAATGGATATGACAACACATTGTTGAGATCTAAAAATCAGTTAGTCAATTGAACCAGTCTGACCGATGCTTAAACTTTCTTTTAACTGCAGAAACCAGTAAGACAACACATCACATGTTGCAAAGGTACAAGAGCAATGTACTGAAGTTTAAGATGTACTTACACGATTAATTTCTGTTCATTCCAATATAAACAGAATTTTACAGCATCTATCACAGCATCCTGGATTTGATGGGGGCCACTACCAATCTGTGACCACCAGTCAATAACAACACAGGAGTCAGAAGCTGGTGAATAGTAAGAAATCTCAAGTAATTTAACTGAAATAGATTCTAAGTCTACTACTTTGCTACTAATCTTAGTGAAAGAGTTGTTTTTTTCAATAAGCATCAGAGGAAATGAGTGAATTAAAGAAAAAATGTCTTAGGTCTTTAATACTCACAGGTTTGAGCAACAGTGGCTTTACACGAGTATGCTGCATTTCTGAGACCTTTCGATGAAGCACGTCAAATTTTTTATCCAGTTTCTGAATGGCATCATACATGGCCTGTTGACAAATGTAAGAGTGAAAACAGTACTGTTTCACAAGAACCCAAACTAAACCTAAAGAAACCAGAAAGTTCAATTAAAAGGTAAATTCCCCCCCTAAAACTGGCTAAGATCTGTAGATAATATACACATTCTGTAATCATATTAAAAATCAATTTAGACAAAAAATGCAAGTAACAGTGGTAAATATTACAGTAAAAATTCTCAGAGAAGTTTACTCTTGTGACTCTAAGGCAGCTGGCACTTGAAGGTTGCTCCCACTGCTTCCAGCAGATATTTTATTTGTACCTATTTTCATGTTTTATGATACACTGACAAGTTTCTGACAAGCTCTAAGGCACATTAGGTATTACGATACACTATTTTAAGTCCTAATAAGTTTCCAAACACACAGGTAAAAGCCTTACTGGCAGCCACTGAAATATTGATTTCTCTAACACCAATGGGAAATATTTAGAAAAATCCTGTCTGTAAAGTCAAGTCCCAACTGGAAGGAACTGAATGTAGCCAGGGATGCCACAGACAAGAAGGGCTTCTGTAGGTATGCAGGTGACAAAAAGAGGGATAGGGCAAGTGCAAGCCCGCTGCTGAATGAGAGAGGGGACCCAGTGTGGTGGGGGAAAAACAGTTTTCCCCCTGAAGTTATAAAATGGTAAACCCCCAGGGGGTGGTGACCCTTGAGGCTGAACCAATGAGCGCTTCTGCAAAATATAAACATATCATCCAGACCGGAAAAGTAGGGTAGTTGTTGTTGTAGTTGTGGTAGTTGGAGAAGTAGCCATGTTGTAGAGCCACAAGGAGAAGCAGCAGGAGCCCCACTGGGGACTGGGTCCCCCCCAGCCCCTGGCTGGGGGGCTACAGGGACTTGGAACAGTGGCAGAAGCAGCTCATACACCACAGGGTCATGCTGCTGTCCAGAGGGACATCAACAGGCAGAAGAAATGGGCTAACAGGAGCCTCATGAAGTTCTACAAGGGGAAGTGCACAGTCCTGCACCTGGGGAGGAACAACCCCAGGCACCAGTACATGCCAGGGACCACCCAGCTGAAAAGCAGCTTGGCAAAAAAGGATCTGGGATCTCCTCATCCTTTTATGGATCCTGATTAAGTTTAATGTGAGTCAGCAACGTGCCCTTGCAACAAAGGTGGAGAATGGTACCCTGGGCTGCATTAGGCAAAGTATTGCCAGCAAGATGAGGGAGGTGATCCTTCCACTCTGCTCAGCACTGGTGAAGCCACATGTCAAGTGCTGAGTCCAGCTCTGGTCTCCCTAGTGCAAGAGAAACATGGGCGTACTAGAGAGAGACCAGTGAAGAGCCATGAAAGAGATGAAGAGATGGGAATGTCTCTCCTATGAGAACAGGCTGAGGGAGCTGGGACTGTTAAGTCTAAACAAGAGAAAGCTCAGGAGCTCAGTACAGGTGTTATAAAAAGGCTTCATGTAGCCCTAGTGTAGAGCCACTGAGAGGAGGGGATAACAGTGAAGTGAAGGAGATGGAAAGGTGCCTGTAGGCAGCAAAAGAGGCTATAGTTTCTCTTAATGCTATTTGTTACTGCACACATTCCCAGACTGGCAAGACTGTTACTCACACAGTCTTAGTCAACCTCCATCCACCACATTCCTGAATGTATTACTTAAGGAGACTTAAAAGACATTCACACTTGGCTAAAAGCCACTCATAAACTGACTTCCCTAAAGCACAGCTGGAATGTCTTTCACTCTATACTGTGACCCCTGTCACACAAGTGCTCACCTGCATAAATATGGGGTGCTTTTAGCTTTCAGTGTGGTTATTTTCAATCTCACATGCTACTGCTTCAGAAGTTAAAAGGAAAGAAGTCATAAAAACAACTCTAGTAGAATTTTGGCACACCTTTGGCAAGCAACACATACTTTCAATAGCTGGGTGTGTATCATAGTCATCTTTCCCATTACTGTGAAGGTCCTCCCAGTAAATCACTAGAGTTTACATTTTGTATAAAAGCTTAATATTTGTAAAGTATTCTTGCCAGCTATAGTGTGAAAAGTTCAGAGAATATGAAGGAGAGTCGTTTTTCATTGAAAATATTGAAGTGGGCAACTAAAAAGTGAACAATTGGAAAAGATCAAGTCACAGGTTGTCACATAAAGAATACAAATCTTCCTGAAGTTTAACTAAAGTTGTTTAAATGACATTTCAGGTATAAAGAAAAAAAATACCTGGCAATAACTGAGGATCTCCATAAGCGTAATCTGTTGATATTCAGCATAGGAAGCTTTAGATACAATACTCTCCTTTTTCATAGAAATAAAACAAAACAGAGTGTAAGCTACTAATACATACACAGGCTTAGGATATCACATTAAACAAATAAATCCCAAATTGAAATCTCACATGTTACTTCAGTCTACTCCAAAACATACATCCCAAAGCAGCTTTTCAAAGTCAGTCAAACAAAACAAAATTAACTTACACATTCATAGTCTGATTCATACTCATAAATGACACTGTCACTATCTTCATATTCTTCTTCCCTGTTTCTCATCTGGGAAATAACATAAAGAGCATTTAATGTTTTGAATAAAGGAAGTATTCAAAATATAAACTGCGGGGAGAACTTCCTAGGAATCCAACTTGGAAACTTTTAGTTGTAGTTATATTCCCTCCCCTGGTTACAGGAGAGCCCAAGCAAACAAGACTTAACACAGTCGGCTTATTTATATACTGTTGTGTTAAGGAAACTTTCCTGTCTGACCATTTGGGAACCACTCTGGCAGTCATATTCCAACACCAGAGACTTTCACTCCTGGGACTGAAGCCCCTTTGCAGAAGGTGGTTCCAGTGAGCTGACGGGGCCCGGCTTGACTCCCTGCACACCTCACTTTCACAGCCAGACAAGGCTTCCTTACGGACTTGACAATGGGCTTGTCATAGCAGAGCCTCAGACCTCTGGCTCCTTTAAGTATTTTTGGCATGGTACAACAACAGAATAACTGGAACTTGGAACTCAGCTTGAGCTGAGTATCTTAGAGGGACTCTGTGTGTGTGTGTGTGTGCGTGTGCGCACACACACACACACGCATATATATATACACACACATATATATATGTATACACATATATATAAAATGTGTTTTTATTTGACAATAACTTTCTCATTTAACTATACATACTATACAGCCAGGCTTATGTAATCACAGAATCATTTAGACTGGGAAAGAACTCTAATATGAGTCTAAATTATGAGATTTCATGTATATTTTTACACTGAATAAACCATTTTAAAAAAAGTGCTTATCTCAATGGGTATAACTGCAAGCAGAACCTGCTTGTAAACTGCTCTTATACAGGAAGAACGGCGCCACCACCTGGACAATCCTGACATCTTTCTTTTACTGGATGGGTGCCTTTCCCATGCACCATACACTGGCAGGAGTAAGGAGTCTGCTGGTGGTGTCTCTGGGTTTTTTCTTCCTATTTTTTAAAACTAATCAGGTCTTATTTTAAAAAAGAAAGGCTGGAGGATGTTTCTTTTGTTTTGTTTACAACAGGTAGAACTTCAGTGACTGGTAAAATCATGGAGAAGACTATCTGGGAGTTACTGAAAAACACCTGAAGGACAAAGCAGTCATCAGTCACAGCCAGCATGAGGGGAAAGTCCTGCTTGTCAGAGTTAACTTCCTTTTATTACAAGATGACTCCATGTGGTTGATGAAGGGAAGGCAGTTGACGTAATCTATTTGGATTTCAGTAAAGCTTTTGATACTGTCTCTCGCACAGATGGATAAACACATCCTGTGGTGGGTGAGCAATTGGCTCACGCGTCGAGCACAGAGAGTAACAGTGAATGGAGGAACATCAGACTGGAGACCTGTCACTAGTGGGGTTCCTCAGAGCTTTGTGCGACACGTATCGGTGTCATCCTGGTGTAGAACTGGCAGAAGGTGCCCTCAGAAGTATTTTTAATTTAAATACAGCATTGCCACAGGGTGTGGTTTAACAGCCTTGTTCCTAAGAAACTTTGGAACATGAAAGTTGTTGAATCTATCAACTGTTTTCTGCTTTTGGGAAAGGGATGTAGGACTTTGGTTAATTTCATCTACTACCTGATCGACAATATTTTTATTTTTTTCATTGGGCCCTGTGCTCTTCAACATCTTCATAAATTACTTGGATGCAGGACTAGAAGTAATACTAACCAAGTTTGTCGACGACACTACGCTAGGAGGAGCTGCTGACTTTCTTGAAGGCAGAGAGGTCCTACAGAGAGATCTGGACAAATCAGAGAGCTGGGCAATCACTAACCATATGAAGGTTAACAAGGACAAGTGTTGGATTCTGCATCTGGGACAGGGTAACCCTGAATGTGCATACAGACTGCAGAATGAGAGGCTGGAGACTTGCTAGAAGCATTCAAGCACTGCACGGATATCCAGCTTATCTTCTTCACTGGGATGTCATCCAATGATCATACAAGAGTGAAGGAAAAGTGACATTTCAAATAACACTGAAATTGACCTCAAAATCAAGAGCTACTGTTTGGAGAAACATACCTCATTCTGTTCCACTACAGTAGGACAAATTCGTTTTCTTTTATTACGCAAAACCACAAAATCCACTTTTTCAGGGCTGTGACCATTTCCTCTCTGCATCATTGTAGAATGGCTCATTTGTGAAGCCATTTGATCAGTTAGCAGCGGTAAGCCTTCGCCTCCTGGGAAAGTGAAGAGAAAGCAAAGCACAACAGCAAGTTTCCCACTGCATTTAGCATTTTACTACAGTAAAAACAGGCACAGTCACCCTCTTTTTTTTTTTTTTTTAACTTTCAAACTGCTTGGCTATTTCAAATTTCTTTAGCAGCATATTTTCAAACACTTATTAATCCAATTCATTTAGATCAGAAATGATAAATTTAATTTGTTTCTTCCAAAGTCTCTACAGCCTCCATTTCATTTTGCCTTGCTTTTCCCTCGATTCTCTGTTCTAATTTCCATGTCCAATTCAAAACCCCAACACAACCAGCTCCCTGAAAATTCAGGCAATACACCCACGATATAAAACACAGTTTCCATTTATTCAGTCCTCAGCTGTCGCCCCCCCTACATTTATGGGGTTCCCTCCAGTTTTGATACTGAAACACTGTGCAACAGAAAAGACCTCTTCCAGGTCAGGGATTACCAAACACAAACTATTCATAAGTGATAGACAGAATGCCTCCACCTCTGCACCTGTGGGCCTAGCATAGTTAAAAAGCCATTACCAGTGTGAATTAGCTCTGTGCTAATTCTTTTGAAGTCCACACAATTGCCAGACCTGCCAGAATTGAAGAATATTAAAGGATTTTCACAATGAAGAGAAAGGGTTCTACTGCCAAATTTGTCTGTACATCAGTTACAGGCTTCTACCTCAGATTTTCAGGAAAGGGCTATAGCAGCTCTTTTAACAAGAAATAAAATCCTCTTATAAGCGGAGGAAGGAAAAACAGACAAAAGTAACTCCTTTCCCTTGAATTCTATATATTTTAGCTAGAGATGGGCCAAGCACTATATAGATAACAAGATACAGAAAAGAGAATATATTAAAACACAAATAAAGAAGCTGAACAAGACCTTGGAAATAATAAGAAGAGCATCTGGCATAAAAAGGCAACACCAAGTCTCTACCATATTATTCTGCCATGATGAAGTTTTCAGCTGGCATAGGCCAAGCTGAAAGGGTATGGTGAGGAAGTTTTGTGGACAGCTACAGTAAATTCCTCCCACATAAATGGGGCTGTATGAGAAAAGTTACAAGGGTACTTCTTACCACTTTAGCAAAATAATGGAACTAATTTCATGTCCCAGATGAAAACTAGAGCTAGTATCTCAGAAGTGAAGAGAAAAATAATCCCAGGAGACTGGGACAAGCTAAGAGAAATACTGAAAAGCAAAGACAACTGCATTTCTTCTACACAGCAGAAGAGGAAGGGCCAGGGGCAGGACAGAAAAGTACAAATATATCCAGTATCATAAGCCAGAAAAAAATTTTCCTTGCTTTAAAAGCCCAGACAAATTCAGCAGAGCTGGCAGATACAACCTAGGCAAGATCTGTGGTAGATTTAACTAGTATAGTTAACATAATTTTGAAATCACAAACCGGGTAATAAAAATACATAAGGTGAAGATTAAAACCTATCTACCCTCCCCCAACCAGCTCCAGAATTTGGTTCCTTTCCCAGACCACCTCATGCCTCCATGTCTGTCACATAGGCCAAGCCAGCACTCATCTCCTAGCACTCAGCACCTTCAGAACTGAGAGCTCAGGATACGACAGAGAGCACTCTGTGGGACCAACACCAACAGAGGCAAGAGGACATGTTGAAAGGAGAAGAGCTGCAGGATTAACACACTGGCACAGTACAGTCCCTCAGATTTCATACACTTCCTGCAGCCAAACCAGAATGCCACTTCACCTGGAGAAACATCACATCCCTGAAATCACATTTTAAGCATATTACATTTATGTTAAACTAATGGTCTGCATAATGAGGTTCCCAAATTTAGATATAGGCCTGAATACAGTGACCTAAAAAAGTGCCAGCAAAAGTGATACTGAGTTTGTGGGCATAAATAGCTAAGAAAAAAAGTGAAATAAAAGTGTTCTGCAGCTGGTGGGGAGAAATAAAGACATAGATCTGTGTCTTAGTGATATTGAGCTTGCTCTGCCAGATATGTATCCATAGGCGAGACCAAAAAGACTAAAGGTTCTCAGAAACACCCAACAACACTAGAAAACAGATGTAACTTGCCTTTGTGAAGATAAATACTGATGAGATTCTCTATAGAGTCAATTGGCTGAATAACAAAAAAAATCCCCCAAACTAGTAAGTGCCATCACTTAGTTACAGTCATTTTCCTCACTGGTAATACTGCTACTGGAATTACTAAATGCTCGTAACAGTTATGAATTATTTTTGTCTGGGCCAGTGAAGCATGGGCTAAGATTTCTGAGAGACTTTGATCTTGCATGTTAAAATAAATACAATGAATTAGAGACAATCACCAAAGGCTACATACAGCTAATAACTTATGACCTTAAACAACCATCGTACTATCATTACGCATCAGTATCTCCAGTACTAAGTTGGCACTGGGCAGTTGTCGTGGTTTGAACCTTGTTTTCCCCCAGAAGCTAAGAAAGTGGTAACCCCCAAGGGGTGGTAACCCCTGGAAGTTTTGAAGTTTTGTCCAATAAGCGCTCCTGCAAAATGTAAACATTCCACAAGCTGACCGGAAGAGACGAGTTGTAGTTTGGTTGTTGAAGAAGAGAGGTGGCCATGTTGTAGAGTCACAAGGAAGGGGCTCGGAGCCCCTTGGAGGGCTCTGGCCCCCCTCCCAGCCCCGGCTGGGGGGGCTGCAGAGACTTGGAACAGTGTTAAGCTAGACTAAGTGTCTGTAACTGAACCTGGAGATGTTTCTTCACTGTGAGCTGCAGCAGCAGAACTGCACTGACCGGAGAAACGGTGGCACAGAGCCAGAAGAGATAAGATGCGGCAGAGGCATTACAGCCAAGCAGGAGAGACACAGTGTTGTCCGAAGAAAGAGAGTTAGCAGCAGAGAGACAGAGTTTGGGGTAAGAACTGTACCAGACCCCTCCCAAACTCCTTTGAGACCTCCGAGAAAGGAGGAGTAGATGGACTCCTGTTTGAGAGGAGCCTTGGAGTACAGCAGTACCGGAGAGAGAGAGGAGCTAAGAAGCTCAAAAGTGTCCTGAAGCTGGACCGGGACAGAGAAGGAATGCGGGGGGAGTTGACCTTGCCCCCCTCCCCCCCGCTGCTGCTGACAAGCCTGGAAGCCTGAGACGGAGCACAGGAGCTCTGGTAGAACTCTTGAGGCAAAGGCTTGCAACTGAATGCTGCCCAAGATGTTCTGACTCAGGGGTGAACCCCTGAGGAAGGGACTTTCACGAAGATGCCCCTGCACTTCGTGATATGACGTGGTGACGCGAGCTTGTCCCTGCTACCCAGTCCACGGAAGAGAAGACCCTCATTTTGGAGACGACGGGGGCCAAGGGGGCTTGGATAACCCCCTCGTGAGTGCTGGCAGAGATCCAGCTATCAGCTGCTGCATGTGGAGAGAACAGATGACTGCTGCTGTAGAAGACACTCCTGCTTAGAGACTGGAAGGGATCTGTCCTTCTTCCCTCCTGGACTTTTATTTGGAGGGGAGAGGAGATCTGATCCATTGTAAAATGCTTATGTCACAGTAGAGATAGTTGTGATCGTGTGTATAATGCATTATGATATTTATTTGTACAGTCATTGTAATGTATTCCCTTTCCCCATTTGGAGTCTGGTGTGTTTTGTCTGGAAAAAACCCATCTCCCATTGGATTGAGATGTGACAGGGGGCTAGGACTAGGGAATTAGGATTTTGGAGAATCTCAAACCATGACAGCAGTTTATCTAAACCCCTAATTTTTTAGGTTAGCTTTTTCCATTACATTTATTTTCCAAATTACTTCCTAATTCATTCCTAGATACATTTACTTCATAAGTCAGTAAAAAGCTGTCTTTTTAAAATGTAATATATCATATATAACATAATACAAAATATTTTAGCGGGTTCACTACATATAAAGACCTGCAAAGTAATAACTAAAAGATACCTCTTTTAAATGCATTGCCAAGCAATTTGTCTGAAGAAGCTTTCTAATAAATCGTGTTTTAAAGGTATGGCCAATATAGAAAGCATTCAACAGAGCAGCACTGAACACACAGCCTTAAAACTAGCCATTAACTATTACATCACAATAAAAATTATCAGTAATTACCATAGGCAAGTTGACCCACGTGGTGAACAGCACTGTTTCCTTCACAGTTTTGTTCCACTGACATGCAGCTTTGTGTAGACAGTCCATGTTCTCCATGGTCCATTATCACTGCTTCAACATCATCTTCAGACTTCACACATATGTAATCTATTAGCATATTCAGAAAGAGAAACAGGTAAAATACACCATTCTGCATTTCAGATGACAACTGTAGTGCCTGTATCACATCTAGCACTACCTCAGTATTTTAAATCCAGTTTCACTTTAGTGACTAAATGCAAAGTCACTTTTAAAAATATACACTGAGGTTTTAACACTCACTAGAAGGGAAGCAGTTTACTATTGCTTAGTTGGTGGGATTCCTGAAACTACTTAGTACCCAATTCTTCCTACAGTGTCCAGCTTCAAAAGTAACAGTTATAAGCCAGTAGAACTTCTACAAAGTCCACTATTTACACTTTCAAGCACACGAAAAAAATACTAAAACTTCCAGACCAAATTAATCTTTCATAAATAAGCCTTGCTTAACACACTTGAAACAAATCAGTCTATAAATCCCAACTGTGTATTTGGTATTCAGGTCAAACCAAACATCAGCTGTCAAGGAGACATCATACAGGAACACCAAATGGCAAATCTGCACTACCAAATTTTTTCCAATTAAACACACTACATCCAGAGAAAAATGTTCCTGTTTCAGAATAACTGTATTACAGTTATTATTGCTAGATCTGGTGGTTTTGACAGGATCAGGAAAGGAGTGGAATTTTTTCTTCATGAAACAAATTAATGGAAGTAACCATACCGTGAACCACTAAAGTTAGGAAATAAAACTTAAATTCAGCCAGCACACATGCATAATGTCACTCTAATTATATGTAACACAGGATCTCTATCCTGTTCATTGCACAGGATGGACCGAGGTCCAGGAATGAATCAGAACTGTATGAGTGTAACAGTGGTCTGGGGTTTTACTCTCCAATTCACTCCAAATCCTGCTCTCTTCCCTCTGCTTCAATTAAGCTGAATTCCCCAGTTCATTCAGTTTTCCTTCTGGCCAATACTCCTGTCTAATCCAAAAGAAATAAGACAGGCAGGGTTTGGATTTGGCTGTCATCAGATTAGGAAAGACTTACCCAAACTGAGGGTCTGTTCAGAAACACCAATCTACTGCCACACAGTTGACAGCATTGTTTATAGTTGTGAAAGAAGCCAAAAAGCTACCTGGGGCAGAGCTGACCAGCACAAAGGAGTTTAGCTGAGTGGACACAAAGTAGGATATGCTGCTGAGGCTGCAACTAAGAACAGTTTTTGGACAGTTTTCATCAGCTGCATAGAAAGTAAACAACAGGACTACTCACAAACTTAATTTACGGTGCAGCTTTTAGCAAAACACTTCAGTGATTCACTGACTGAAGTTCATTGCAGGCTCACATGAGGAATTATTAGCAGGTGTTGAATTAACTAACTGCCTCACAGGCACAAATTTTTTTGTTGACAATCATTTAGTATTCTACCTACTTAGGAAGAGAATTAATGAAGAGTCAGGAAAAGGGCATCTGCAATGAAGCAGAAGGGATCAGAATCCTCTCTGGCAACTTCCCCAACCAGTATGCCAGATAAGTGCATGGCCTGACAAACGTCCTACTTACAGCTGGGCCTCTGCTGTCCTGCAATCATCTTTCTATCCCTAAATAGAGGAGGTGACACACGTTGTATGCTATTTATGCAACCCTACAAAGTACAGACTTTATCTGTATATTCATAATCTTTGCCACAAATCTCATGCCTCACTTTGGCCAACAGGAAATAAGGCAGCCAAACAAGCCTACCTGATCAGCAACTATGCCACTCAAATCTACAGCAGACAGAGGAACAGGTATAGAAGAGGGAAAAATTCTGTGGAACCAGAACACAACAAAGAGACAGCAAAGTCAAAGCAGCTCCATCTGGACTAAAGGAAGGCCAGTATGAACAGAAGTCAGGAGAGTTTCTACAACTGGTTTAAACTGAACACAAATCCCAGTCTTCCCTCTACTACTCTCCCTGACATAAGTTTTAAAATCAGAATTTCAGTGGTGCAGTGGACTATGAGCAGAAAGTGTTTCCAAAGTTGGTAGCTACAGCAACTCACAGCTGGAGGGTAAATATAAACCAAACAGGAAAACACGGAAAGGTAAGCCACCTCAACTAAAAAAAAGCAAAAATCCCCAACCACATCTAATTAATTACAACACATTTCCACAATGACGTAGAAGCAATGCAGCCACAAGCATTAGTCCCTCAAAACTTTTGACTTCTCAGATGGTGGCCAAAGTCCTCCTCATCCCCAGGACTTTTAATTTCCATTACCCATTGCTGAACATAGCTGTTCTCAAACAGATAAAGGAAATGTTAGATGAAAGATGAATACAAACTACAACATAAAGAAAATTGAGACATAAACACAATGACACCACACACAGGACACAGATGGTCACAGATAGAAAGAATGATTTTTTCTCTAAAATAATTTAAAGATTGAAAGATGTCGGTATTAAACATATAGAAATAGTAAAACCAAGCAAACAAATAAAAAAACTTGGATTCTTTCAAAGGCAGTTAAAAACAAAAACATAAAAGTCCAAAAAAACTCTGTAGCAACTATGAGTTACCTACCAAAATTAATAAAGCAAAGTAACCCTACTCAAATAAATAAAGAATTTAGCTGGGTTTAAACTAACCCACAAAAGGAGAGACAGCTAGCATCACCCTGGATCACAGTTAGATCCTGCTCTATTTTATCCTGTGACACTTACACTAACATACACAAAAAAGCGAACCAACACAACGGAGAGTCCAGGGACACCAGTGCCTTTCAGGGTTGGTATCATCCCATCACAGCTTTAGGTAATCATTTGGCTATTAACTCCATCTCACTGCAGACATATCTGAGAGTTTTAAGCAAATTTCTGCACACTACAATAATGGAAGCTACAAGCACAGAAATACAACTGGATCTGATGCATCAGCTGAAGCCTGAAGACAAGCTGACAGACTATTTTTCTTTCTCCAGGTATGTTATTAATTAAATATATCACGTAAGCCAGTGGGATAAGGAAGGACTTGTACTGAGTCAGACATTACTTGATGAATGCTCTCACTTATTGGAGAAACAGAAATGTAGGTGACCATCAAGTACGGGATGGTAAAGGGAGATGGATCAGAGAGCTGAAAGCACCAACTTGTACTAAATCCTATCCAAACCTCTACTACAGAGTTCCTGGAGGGCTGCTTGCAAAATCACCAAATCAAACTTTTCACAGAAATCCAGTGGTTTTTCTTCATTTTCTAAGAGTTCAGTTAGACACATTTCTGTATATAGGCAATCATGATCTCAATAGTCCCAGATGCAACAGCCAGCCATGGAAGCTATGTGTAAGACAAACTAGATTTTACAAAGATGCTCAAATATGGCACTCAGAAAAAAAAAATTGACTGCACCTACTTCAAGTCACATCCTTGAATTCAGCATACTTCTGATAGTTTTGTCCTTAATCTAGATAGACTGTCGGGGATCAGAGACATCAGAATACTCTAGCACAGTGTTCAGCCTCTGAACACTGAAGGAACAGTTAATATAGAATGCTGTTGTCAGAATTTGCATAAGTGAAATTTGCAACAAACTAAGACAACAGAACCAAATGTTAAGCAAATACAAACCATTTACTATGGAGAGATATAATAAAACCATACTTCCTGTGGCTTTAGGTCTCATATTTGGATCACTGTGATGCCAAAACCACCAAAACTCAAAGTAAAACAACTCTCTTTCAGAGACCTCTGATGTTTAACAAGATTTGAGCTCATTCTGAAACTTCTGACTGCAGAAAAGAATTAATGGCACATCTTTTCTATTGCCAAGAATTAGTACAGACTTAATATTTGTTAAGACTATTGAGTTACAGACAAAGCCAATCAGGAGACCAAAGAGTTGAGGACAAAGGAGAAGGATCAACAAATACATGTTTGTTTAACCAGGAGCAGTACCAGGATTGCTATGCTCCCATGCTCCTACATCTCAGTCTTTATGCTGGCACTTTATGCTGGCACTTGCATGACTGCACGGTGAACTGGCTATTTCTTAGTCAGAGAAGTTCCTTGAACCATGAAGTTACACAAGGAAATTGGGCATCTGAGCAAGACACAACTGGAACTTCTTTAGTGGGTAGGTCTGTGACAGCGACCGCAAACTAAATGAGCTTAAACTGACGTGAGTCCGTATAAACATCACTTCTCGGAAGGGCGAGGTGCAGCACGTAACTGACAGAAACTAACCTGTTTTGACGCGAAATACAGGAAACCCATACACCTCTAAGGCACTTAGGTTGCACTGAGCATTGCATTCCAACGGGAAGTTCATTAGGTCAGGCCTTTCACTTTAGCAGCATCACTCATCTCTGCCGTACTCAGGTTTTGTACCTCAGTAACTGCAGCGCTGGGGGAACCTGCCAGGGCCGACACCCCGCTATTCCACACCGAAGTCTCCCCAGGATTTCGTCACTACTTCCCCCTCCCCCCCAGCACTGACCTACACCATGAGGCAGCCAAACTGTAGCTGGACGACCCTACTCCTGAGCACCAACTTCCCTGAGGGTCCCCGAGGAACATCCGCTCGCCAGGGGTTCCCCGGGAGCGCGCCCGAGCCCCTCCGCCCAGCGGGTCCCGCGGCCGCGCGCCCCCGCCGGCCATGACGCGACGGCGACGGGCAGGAGTAACAGCCAATGGCAGCGCTCGGCGCGCGGGAACGGGCGAATCGCGACGGGCGCGGTGGGCGCGGCCCGGCCGGCTCGGCAGCGGCGTTGGGGCTGCTCCGAACCATGGGAGAGCGTCCACCGCGCCCTGGCGGCGCCGCGTCCCGCCCGCCTCCCGCTGCGGGGCGAGTGGCCGCCCGGGGCCCTTACCCTCCTCGGACATGGCCTGGTGGGGCGGCAGAGCGCGGGGTCCTCCTCGGGTGGGTCGGGCAGCGGAGCCGGGGTTCGAGCACGGGCAAGGGCAGGTGTGGCCGGAATGCGTCGTTGGAAACGGAAGCGGCTTCTCCGACGTGAGCAACAAACTGTTTTGGAGCAGTGCGGCTGCGCGCGGGGGCGCGCTCGGCAAACGGGAGCGCGGGGGCGGCGCAGCCACCGCCTTCTTCCTCAGTAGGCGCGGCGTGAGCGCAGCACTTGGTCTGTCTGCCTGTCAACACCTAGTCGGTCTGCTACGGCCCTCCTGCAGCAGCCAATCCATACAGCACCCAGTCCGTCTGTCCGCCCGCTCCCGCACAGAAGCCCATCAGTCCCTCCGCCCGTTGCCGTAGCAGTCCTGATTTCCATAGTCTTGTGGGGCAGTGGTATTTGGAGGAACTAAGAGAAGAAAGGCATTTAAAGTAGGTCTAAGAGGAGTACAATCTTTAGGAAGTGAAGCTAAATTAAAAGGAATGATCTGATACACTAGAGGCCATAACACTTCTGTTCTGAGTTAAAGCACTCTGTTTTACAAAGTTTTGTCTTGAAAATATAAACCGGTAGGCATTCCTCTATATTTCTACCAATATGGTTTCAGTGGCTTACTAATCATCTAGACAGCAGGTTTAGAAAAGAAAACTGAAAGGAATGGAGATAGGTGGGAGGCTGTTGTAGGGAAAAGAGTCAACTGTTAATGCATTTGAATGCAGAACATACTTTCAGAAAGAGTGAGAAAACCCGACCTCATGGCTAGGCTTTGCGAACAAAGATTTAGGAAGGCTCTATCCACATTTGTTACAAGCACGCTGGTGGCTAATGAGGATAGTGTGGTGGTATATATTCACAGGTATATCCCTTGTACATACTCTTTAGGTCTGTGTGCATGTGAGTGTGAATATTTTATAGGAAATGTACTGTGAAATTTGCTCTCTGAGATTCTGAAGTACTTTAGATTTGTAAGTGAGGCCTGCGAGTTACTGTTGTGCTGTAGTAAATTCTAGTAATCTTCTGTAAGTTGTTTAACTTTAGCTATCGATTAAGTGCTGTTAAACCTTTGAGCCTAAATTGTCAGTCCAATCTGGGACTAAGTTGGCAGAGGGGTCCACTCTGAACCTTGTGGCTCAAGAGGGGGGGTTTCCCTTTATTCCTTTTTATTCTTACCCTTTCCTATCCTTATCCTTACCCCTCCCCTCCAACCCTCCCCCAACCTCCATATAGATAATTTTGGGGTTGATTTGGGGTTTAGATTGATGGATTTTAGGTTTTAGTTTGCTTTTTCTCTGTGTGCTTTAATCATCTAGTAAATAGCAGAGTGAACCTTATCAACAAACTTTGTTGTGCTTTCACTTTTATATTAAACCTGACTTTTCCGATACCTTTGCTAGTGATTCTTTCAGTGACCTTAAAATACTCATGTGCAACACCTACAAAGAATTAATTTTTCCTGGATCAGTTTTCACAGAAAATTTCCTGAAGTTAATTTGTTGGCCATCTTTCCTGATTCTTAGAGTTATTAGATCTAGTAAAATAAAATAATATGTTTACCTGTTTATACATTTATCTCTTTCTGTCATGTTTCATTTTGGGTTTGAACTTGGTATTTTGTAGTGTTGGACATTTCAAATGATAAGTGAAATTGCGCATTAATGCCAGTTACACACCAGTCTTCAGGAAGCCCAAAACTTGTTTTGTGCATTGAGGAAAGTAACAGAAATTATAGCTTAAATTTACATTACCAGGATTTTTTTGATGGTACAGCTGGCTTGGCAAAGTAAAATGCCCAGAAACGGATCACAGTATTAGGATAAAATGATTGGGTATCAGTATTGAGAGGGTATGGTCTATATTTCATTCACTTTGCTTTGGGTCAGGTCTTAAATTATCTACCAAACCCAAGAAAACAGTGAAATGTGAAGCCCTATCTAGAGGTTTCATTTTTGAGGCCCTCCCATTCTTAAATGGTCATAAACCCATTTTTTTTTAATTACCCATAATGAAGTAAGGGGTGTGTGACTGCTGCATAGGAAGGCTTTATTGAACACTAAAAGAAAGTACTTTCTAAAAGAACATTAAAGGATGAACACTAAATACTAGTCCTAACATAATAGTCCTGTGCCAGCCTTTTAAATACATAAATCAACTTAACTGCTTAGGCATTGAATGCCATATTCTTAGAGATTCTGAAAGTCCTTTACTCATAAAAATGGGTTTTTAGCTGATAATTTACTTTTTTTCAGTTCTAGAGGCTTGTAATAGAACTAAACCACTTGACCTAGATTCAAAGTGAGTTGTTACAGGCTGGCCAAGCCATGTAACAGTGATGTTACTTAAGTGTCTCAGAAGCACAGTGTGAATTTCCACAGGAAACCCATTGGGTGATTGATTGCTTGTTTTGTAGATGCGTGGGGTTTGAGTGATAGAAAAAGAAAGCAGCCTCATGTTAAACTATCACAAAACCTTTATTAGAAAGCAAGGCTTCTTTTATTTGTTCAGGTGTCATTAGCAAAAAGGCTTATTTTTCTGCCTCATTAGCAGCACCTCACTGCTAGGAATGGAGAATGTTGCTGGACTATAGATTAAAAGTCTCATAAAAAATTGCACTGATATAGATGAAAAGTCTATGAGTTGCTCAAGAAATGACATTTCTTTGGCCTTGGTTCTTCTTTTTTTGGGACTGTGGGAGCAGATCCTGCTTCTCCTCTCACCCCAGCTAAAGATGCCAGTAAACAAAAAGGGAGCTGCAGGGGCAGTTGTTTCCTCACGGGAAGAGCTTATGGTTTGCAGCCTTTTTGTGAAATGGCAATAGTAAGAAGTATTTATGTCAGAGCTTGATAATTTTCTGTTAAAAAAATAAAATTTACCTATTTAGAGGGAAAGTGCACAAGAGCTACCCCTCATGCTCATGATGCTGTCACTGCCTTTGCTGTTTTGCACAGCTTTATATTTTATCTTCCAAGAAAACAGTAAATGTCACTGAGAATGCTGAAATTTCTGAGAAACTTCACTGGGAATGCTGAAAAATTTCTTTTAACATTGAGTGGTTTTCTGATTTTTCCAACTCTGGGGAAATTCCAATGGCAATGCTAGTGAATCTATGGCAAAGTCTGTATTTACCTGCTTACCTGTTATCCTGACCTTGACCTTATGTTAGAGGATATGTATTCCTTACGAATACATTTCCTCAGTACTCTCTTTGGGAAGTACAGGTGATATGATGTGAAACCTCTCTCCCATTCACACTGAAATAGTTAGAACAGGCATCTTCAACTGGCAGAGCTGGATTACTTGCATTCAAGAAGTTAGAATAATGTGTTGAGGGATTATTATGACCCATAATGTTGGGCACTAGAAACGTTTTGGGAGAATGCTAATATGCCAGGAGGTAAAAATACAAATGGGATAAACTAGGTAATTAAAAACCTGTCACCCTGACTTTAATCCCAGGAAAATACTGTAATGCTTAATGCACACTTTTGGCACCAAGTAGAGAATTGAAGGAGGGGAAAATAGGTTTATAAAAAACAAAGTCTGTCAAGTAAGTGCCTATAGAAATCCAGCGATGTCAGAGACTGAAATGGTTAATGATTGATGCATTCTAGGAGACTTTTGCAGGCTTTTGACTTGCATGATACCTCTGATGAGCAGTCGGCCCCTCCCTCCCTCCAGTGCTGAAGGTGTGAAGCCCTGGAAAGGCAAGAGCTGAGCTTGCAGGCTTTTGACTGTTGATACATCTGATGAGCAATCAGGCCCCTCCCTCCCGCTGCTGATCTGAAAAGGCGGGAACCAGGCGAGAGACAAAAAACTCAGCACAGACCTAGGAGATGTTAGAGGCTCGAGGCATGGCCCATGACACTAACCATGGATATAACTCATAACTTCTTGGAGTATGTGGGCTTCCCTCCTTCATCCCCAGCAGATCAAGGCCACCACTTCTACTGACAGACATGGAAGCATCGCTGGACCCCGTGGGCGGTGACTATATACATCTGTCCACTCTCAGCTTTTCTTTCCCTTGCTCTCCCTTGCTCTTATCCTGCCTTTCTCTCCCCTATGCACTCCCTTTCCCCCCGCAAAGGTTATCTCTGTGTCACACTGTTGTATGACAGCACCCAAACTGCTAGCATGCCTGTTGATACAGAATTGTTAAAATAAACCTTGCCAGTATATGTTTTTAGCCACCGATTATTTAGTGTCGTTTCACTTTAATCCACTCCAAGGGAATTATTGATAAAAACCTGAGTTACCCCCTCTCCCCTTTTCCTGGGGCGGGTCGTAACAAGCGATCAGACCCATATCTGGGGAGGATCCCTTGCTTCCCAGACTGTATCTGTCTTATGCAGAGCAGTGGACAGACACAACCAGTAGTGCTTCCAAGAGCAGGCACCAACACTTAGTACTTGCAATGAACACCTGTACCAGTCCCCTCTCTGAAACAGGATTTGTGTTGTGGACCAGAGCTTCTCCATATCTAGTAAAAGTTCCAGCAATAGATAGAGGTTAAACATGCCTCCTGCTTGCTGACTCAAGGAGGACTCCCCTGGGTTGTGTATGTGGCCCGAGCTGCCAAGTGTTTTGACAACACTATAGGAAGAGTGTATAGGAAGATTTGTTGGGTGGGGGTTGAATTCCACCCTTGGGAGAAGATTCCAGTGTTTTTGATGTGTCATTCAAGTATTAACGCCCATGTGTTTTATTATCCTTTGAAAATTCTCATAGCCATGAGTCTTTCCATGCATGATTATATACATTCCTTATATATGTGCGTGTGTATATATATCTACACAGCATGGTGGGATGCTTTGCTGAGAACCAGAATAGTACAACCTGAAAAAAACTTGTATTTGCAGTCATACTACTTATAGTATTGAGATTATAGTACCACTGGATGGGCCTGAAGGTTGTATGCCGTACATGCATACCCAAAGGTACACAGTGACACCTGGATTTTACAAAGGCTTACAGAAGTCACTGACTTCACATATGTTGTAAAGAGTTACAATGATTTCACCTTATGTGAGAGACCTAAAACCTGAAAGAGTTAATGTCTCACTCTGCAGAAAAGGAATGCCAATGACGAAGGTTACAGTGGCTGTGTGTGCATCCGTCTTCCAGAGGAACTGGACCAGAGATGGTGCCAGTGGTGACCCAGATCCTTTTTCACTACCCCGGTTTTCCTATCTTTCCTTCCATTTTCTCCTGAAAGGTTCAATCCATGGGCTGTTCAGGAATTGCTGTTGTCTCGTGCTATTCAGAAATGTTTAAATTGCTGCTACCACAGGCTGTTCAACCTATCGAAAATTGTTGCTGCCATAAATAAAACTTTTGGGATTGTTTCACCTTAATTTAGCCCAAGGGTATTCTG